GAGAGAGAGAGAGAGAGAGAGAGAGAGAGAGAGAGAGAGAGAGAGAGAGAACGTAGCAGAGGAGGGAGGAGGAGAAGAAGTACCTTGATCATAGTGACCACCCCAGTGCATGTATAAGATGTAAGGGGGAGGGGGAGAGAGAGAGAGAGAGAGAGAGAGAGAGAGGAAAGGAGGAGAACATCGCGGAGGAGGGAGGAAGAGAAGAAAAGAGAGAATTTCAGGAAGAGCATTGGCAGAAGAAGCCGAGAAAGAGTACACTCACAAGTAGCGCAAAGCACAGTGCTTCAAAATGAAAACAAGAAAAAATCTGAAAAATCATGAAGCACACTCGCCATTGTTGCAGTTAAAAAGCTCCTAGTTGGATTGTGGGTGGGAGAGGTCGGTCCGCTCTTGCGGGGGCGTGTACTATTTCTTTCGCCTTTCTTGCTGGGGATGCGTTCCTTGCCTTTATTGGCTGGGAGAGCTGGCGCTCGTAAAGGAAAGAAAATAGAGTTTTCGAAAAAAAGCGGAAGCACGCTCGGCATTCCTCCCGCCTTGCTTATTTATGGTCAGCAAGCTGCAGGTCCCCCCTACAATGACGGACGCATTGACAGGTAGATCTACCTAGCAGCCTAATTTGATTGCCTGCATGAGAGCGTAAGGTGGGTGATAGCCCGAGGGACGTGAATGTTCGCAATGCGCGGGCAGGGGTAGCGCCAGCGGTGTAGACCGACGACGAATTGCAATACGTGGCACAGGAATCTGGGTGAGAAATGCAGATGGTAGGGGAGTTACAACGTGGAGCATATCGACTACAGGATATGCTCGGGGACAATGAAGATGAAGTCTCACTTACAGAAGATGCTGAAGGTGAGCAAGATGATGATTGTGATGTGCTCCACTATTATACAAATATCGGCGCTATGTGTGAGATCTTGGAATCTGAAACAGAGACGAGTTGTGCTGTTGTTGTGCGTGAGTGTGATGAGTATGAGAGGGGAGGAGAAGAAAGGTGGGTTAACTTGATGGCACTCTCTTACCAGGTTGAGGTTGAGAGTGCAGTTGGCGGTGGAGAGAGGGAATATGCTGCTGATGACGCAGCTGAGTGGGAGGTTAGGGATGAGAGTGCAGTTGGCGATGGGGAGGGGGAATACGCCACTGATGACGAAGGTGAGTGGGAAGGGGAGTGGGGGCTATTGGCAACGGTGGAAATGGTGGCAGAGGCAGCGGTGACGGCAACAGCAACAACGACAACATTAACAACAACAATAATGGAGGTGGAGCAGGGGTCGGCAGTGGAGCGGCAAGGAATGGGCGGGATTGGCGAGAAGGGTGGGTTGGTTGACAACAACAATGACAATAACAACAATAGCAACTTTAACAATGGCAGCGAGCGGCGAATGGGCGAACTGGGGTGAGATAGGCGTGAAGGAGGATAACAACAACAACAACAACAACAACAACAACAACAAACAACAACGACGACGACGACGGCGGCCCCAACACGATGGAGGAGAGGGGAGAGAACACCA